CTTTACGGGGTAAAGGGAATGAGTGAATTCATCCACAGATTTTTTTTTTTTTTCAGGAAATTCCATACTGTTTTCCACAGTGGATGCACCAGTCTATATTCCCACCAACAGTGCACTAGGGTTCCCTTTTCTCCACATCCTCACCAGCACAAGTTGTTTGTTGACTTGTTAAGGATGGACAGTCTGACCCATGTGAACTGATATCTCATTGAGGAGCACCCAAACATATAATGAAAATCTTGGAGGAGTTCAATAAAAATATCAACATCAACACTCTCATTATATGGGATTTCAACACCCAATTAACAACAGTGGATAGATCTCCCAAGCAAAGAATCAACAAGGATATTGTGGCATTGAACAACACTCTAAGTGAAATGAATTTAACCGATGTATACAAAAACGTTCACCCCAAAGAAACAAAATATACATTCTTTTCAAATACACATGGAACATTTTCAAAGACAAACCACATGGTAGGACACTAAACAAACCTCAAAACCTTCAAGAAAACTGAAATCATATCAACCATTTTCTCAGATCATAATAGCTTGAATCTAGAAACCAACCTCAAGGAAAAACTTCAAAAATATTCAAATTGATGGAGACTGAATAACACGCTATTAAATAAATAATTAATGAATTAACAATGAGATCAAGGAAGAAATCAAAAAGTTTCTGGAAATAAATGAAAACAAACACACACCAGACCAAAACTTATAGAATACAGCAAACCCAGTCCTGAGAGGGAAGTTCATAGCAATACAGGCCTACCTAGAAAAGAAAAACAAATTCAACAAGGCTTTAACCAGACTCATCAAGAAAAAAGATAGGACCCAAGTAAATAAAGTCACAAATGACAGAGAAACTGATACCACAGAAATACAAAGGAATATAAGAAATCACTGTGAACAACTATATGCCAAGATATTTGACAACCTGAGTGACATAGACACATTTCAAGAAACATGTAATCCTCCAAAATTGATTCAAGAAGCAGCAGAAAGCCTGAAGAGCCAATAACAACTAGTGAAATTGAAGCATTAATTTAAAAAATTCTGGCACAAAAAAACCCTGAACTGGACAGCTTCATAGGAGACTTTTACCAAACATTTAAGGGAAAAGCTAACTCCTACGCTATTCAAACTACTCCCAAAAATGCAAGAAAAGGGAAGACTCCCAAACTCTTTTTATGGGACCAGTATTACCCTAATTCCAAAACCAGGTAGAGACTCAACAAAGAAAGAAAACTACAGGCCAATATCTCTAATAAACAGAGATGCTAAAATCCTCAACAAAATACTGGCAAACCAGATCATTAAATACATTAAGAAGACCATACACCAGGATCAATGGGACTCATCCCAGGCATGCAAGGATGGTATAATATTTGCAAATCAATAAACGTAATACATCACATAAACAAAATGAAAGTCAAAAACCACATGATCATATCAATAGATGCTGAAAAAGCACTTGATAAAGTACAGCACCTATTTATGATAAAAAAAATTCAGCAAAGTGGGAGAGAGCATATCTCACCATAATAAAGGCCATATATGAAGAACCTACAGCCAACATCATACACAATGGGCAAAAACTACAAGTTTTCCCCATAAGATCAGGAAAAAGACAAGGGTGTACACTTTCACCACTGTATAGTATTGTAAGTTCTAGCCACAATAATCAGACAAGAAAAAGAAATAAAAGGCATCCAAATTGGAAAGGAGGAGGTAAACTGCCAATATCTGCAGATGAATGATAGTGTACATAGGAAACCCTATAGGCTCCACCAAAAAACGACTAGACCTAATTGAATTTTGCTAATGGGAGACTTGAAGTCAATTTGCAGAAATTGAAGACATTTTTTTAATACCAACAACGAAATATCAGAAACAGAAATCAGGAAAAAACTCCCATTCACTATAGCAACAAACAAAATAAAGTATCTAGGAAACTTAACCAAGGAGGTAAAAGACCTATACTTGGAAAACTGCAGAATACTGAAGAAAGAAATTAAGGAAGATACAAATAAATGGAAGCATATACCATGTTCATGGATTGGAAGAATTAACATCATTAAAATGTCCATAATACCCAAAGCAGTCTACAGATTCAACACTATTCGTATTAAAATAAAAATGATACACTTCACAGATTCAGAACAAATATTTCAAAAACTTACATAGAACCAAAAACAACCCAATGGTCTTAGCAATCCTGAAGAAGACCAAAGAAGGAGGGATCACAATACCTGATAGCAAACTATATCATGAGGTCACTGTAATTAAAACAGTCTGGTACTGGCATAAGAACAGACACACAGAGCGATGGAACAGAATAGAGAGCCCAGTAATAAATTCATGCCTCTGTGGTCAATTAATATTTGACAAAGGGGGCAGGAGCATAAAATGGAGCAAAAATAGTCTCTTCAACAAATGGTGCTGGGAGATCTGTACAGCTACATGCAAAAAAAATGAAATTGTAAGTTCCAGAATAAACTCAAAATGGATAAAAGACTGAAACCTAAGCTGTGACACCACAGAAGTCCTAGGGGAAAACATAGGCAGGAAAATTTTGTGTAGCCCATGCAGCAATATTTTCACCAATAAATCCTCTAGGGCAAGGGAAATAAAGGAAAGACTACACAAATGGGCCTACATCAAATTAAAAACCTTCTGCACGGCTAAAGAAAACATCAACAAAATGAAAAGGAACCAATCATATGGGAAAATATATTTGCCAATGATACCTCAGACAAGTGTTTGATCTTCAAACCATATAAAGAACTCATACTCAACACCAGGAAGATAAACAATCCAATTAAAAAATGGGCAAAGGTCCTGAACAGACACTTCTCCAAGGAGGGCATACAATGGCTCATACACATATGAAAGGATGCTCATCACCATTAGCAATCAGAGAAATGCAAATTAAAACCACAATGAAATACCACCTCACACTGGTCAGAATGGCCACCATTAAAAAACCAACAAATGACAAGTGCTGGTGAAGATGTGGGGAACAGGGTACGCTGGTGCACTGTTAGGGGGAATGCAAACTGATGCAGCCAGTGTAGAAAATAGTATGGAATTTCCTAAAAAAAATGAAAAATGCAACAGCCTTTTGACCCAGTGATTCCACTGCTGGGATTATATCCTAAGATTCCTGACACAGAAATTCAAAGGAATCTATATACCCCTACGCCCACAGGAGCATTGTCTACAATAGCCAAGTGCTGGAAACAGCCTAAGTGCCCATCAGTAAATGAGTGGATCGAAAAAATGTGGTACATTTACACAATGGAATACTAAGCAGCAGAAAGAAAGAAGGAACTCCTACCTTCAGGACAGCATGGATGGAACTGGAGAGTATTATACTAAGTGAAATAAGCCAGGCGGTGAAAGACAAATACCATTCGATCTCACCTATAAGAGGAACCTAATGAACAAAACAAACAAACGAGCAAAATAGAACCAGAGGCATGGAAACAAAAAACAACTGACAGTGTCCACCGGCGATAGGGGAAGGAAATAAGGGGGAAAGACAGGGAAGGGACTAGTCAAGGAACATGTGTAAAGGGCCCATGGCAATGGGCAACAGGGTGGGTAACGACTGTGGGGGCAGGGCAGGGCAGAGCAACTGGGGAAAATTGGGACATCTGTTACAGAATAACAATTAAAAAAAAAAACCCTGCCCAAAGCAAATTCAGTGTAAGATTTTCAAATAGTATATCATGTAGTAATCAAAAGTTATTTCCACAAAACTACTCTAAAATATATTTGTTTGTACATGTGCACAAACAAATGTAAATCTCAAGGACATTAAGAAATGTTCAACTGAAACACCTGTAGTGTCTGATCCCACTCCAAGCTTCACTGAACCTAGCTCTCACTTATAACTGTTTCTTGTCCTGATGATAGAAAGCAATTTTAGAAAGTGGTTAACACTGGCTTGCGTCCATGTATGATCGTCTAGGGCATCCCTTACACATCCCATCAAGAAAGTGTACTTTCTCAATGCTCTCCATCTGTACATGACACACTTCTGTGGTTTCTGATGCATCATCACATTTATTAACTGGTACACTAATGTTCTTTCTTGCTCTCCTCACATAGATCCTCGAGGGTCAGTGGCAGCAGAAATAGTTTATGAACATCTAGAAGTAAACTAGCAAAATTATAGGTGCTACCAATGTAAAAAGCAGAAATAAGGATGCATTTTAGAAGGAGAAACTATATATTCCAAATATTATATACCTATATTCTATAAATTATTTTAAAATATTATAGACATACTATATAATTAGCTATCTATAAATGACAATCTACCTACGACTATCACTAAAACAGCTCGAGACTAAATTATCTACTTCAAAAAGAGTTTCTTGAAATGAACCTTCTTACTCTTAACTACTCAATTATAAGATAATACAATTATAAAAACTAAACTTCATTTCCAGCAAACTTCCTCACTTTTCTGAGTAAAACTTCTACGACTGGCTCACAGAATTTTTCACAGAAGTGTACTGGAACTTCAGTACTCACTATGAATTTTCTTTCCTTGAGATAGCATCTCACAGCATCTCTTCCAGATCCCTGAAGATAACTATGGCTCTGAGGTCTCTTCTGCTCTTCAGATAAAGTTTAAGTAATGGTTATGACCAAGTTGACTGGCAATCAAAGAAGCTATGTTTTATTTTAATGTAAAGCCCTTTGATTATTTTTATATTCAGATGAAATATATGGAAAAGAAAAATTCTTACCCTTATTTATCTTTAGCGAGCAATTAAAAGTCTACCACCGTAAGGTAAGCCCAATCAATTAAAGTGTAAACAATCTTGCCTCTTTTGCAAAAGACATTTGCCCAGGTTCTAATCTTAATCAATTTTTGATAAAAACAGATAATGAACTGCATTCGCAGAAGCATAGCTGAATAGTAAAAGTTGGCATCCCTGTAAAATAAGACAAAATGTGCACTGAGAAAGAACTTTCACTTACTTGCACGAAGGACTGAAGGGGTGACCTCAATTTCACTTGTTGTTTGATAAGGCTGAAAGGCGGAAACATTGTTGGTGCCAAGCTCACTGCCAAATATCTCTGGACTCTGGGTGCCAGTGGAGCTGGCACTGGTGCCATCACCTCCATGATGTGGGTCTTGCTCATCAAACACTGCTACCAGCTAGAAACAAAGGGTGAATTTGCAATTATAAACAAAGGTATTTAAAAATACTACCATAATCTCTACACCACATTTGACTTATATCAACAGAGAAACAGTATTGATATTTATGCACCCAGGAATGTTATCTCTTAAGAAGCAAAACTTCAAGTAAAGGTCTTTCCTGAAATTTTGATGCTTTTTTTTTTCCATTTACTTTTTTAATTATATTTTATTGTTTATGCTATTACAGTTGTCCCAACTTTTCTCCCTTTGCCCCCTCCACCCATCAACTGCCACTCCCTCAGGCAGTCCCCCACCACTGTCCATGTCCATTAGCCATGTGTGTAAGTTATTTGGCAACTTCTTCTACTATCCTGTACTTTACATCCCCAAGGTTATTCTGTAACCACCTATTTTACTTCTTAATCCCCTCATCTCACCACCCATTCCCCTTCAACTCCCTCCCATCTGGCAACCATCAAAACGCTCTCTGTATCCATGATTCTGTCTCTGTTTTTCTTGTTTGCTTAGTTTGTTTTTTAGATTCAATTGTTGACAGGAATGTATGTAGTGCCATTTTATTGTTCATAGTTTTTATTTCTTTTTCTTAAATAAATCCCTTTAACATTTCATATAATAATCGTTTGGTGATGCTGAACTCCTTTAGCTTTTTCTTGTCTGGGAAGCATTTTATCTGCCCTTCCATTCTAAATGATTGCGTTGCTGGGTAGAGCAATCTTGGCTGTATGTCCCTGCTTTTCATGACTTTGATTATTTCTTGCCAATCTCTTCTAGTCTGCAAAGTTTCTTTTAAGAAATCAGCTGACAGTCTTATGGGAACTCCCCTGTAGGAAAGTAACTTCTTTTCTGTTGCTGCTTTTAAGATTCTCTCTTTAATCTTTAACCTTTAATTTTTTAACCTTTAGTTTTACCTTTAACTTTTAGTATGTCATGTATTGGAGTGGGCCTCTTTGTATCCATCTTTTTTGAGACTCTCTATGCTTCCTGGACTTGAATGTCTATTTCCTTCACCAAGTTAGGAAAGTTTTCTTTCATTATTTTTTTGAATAGATTTCCAAGTTCTTGCTCTTTTTCTTCTCCTTCTGGCACCCCTATGATGCTAATGTTGGAATGCCTGAAGTTGTTTAGAGGCTGCTTACACTATCCTGGTTTTTTTTGGATTTTTTTTTCTTCTTGTTCTTCTGATTGCTTATTTTTTATTATTATTATTTTTTTTGCTTCCTTATGTTCCAAAGCATTGATTTGATTCTCGGCTTCATCCATACTACTGCTGTTTCACTACAAATTGTTCTTTATTTCAATTAATGTATCCTTCGTTTTTGACTGGATCTTTTTTTATGCTGCTGAGGTCCTCAATGAGTTCTTTGAACATTCTTACAATTAGTGTTTTGAACTCTGCATCTGATAGATTGCTTAGCTCCATTTTGTTTAGTTCTTTTTCTGGAGTTTTGATGTTTTTTTCATTTGAGCCATGTTTCTTTGCTCATTTTGGCAGCTTCCCTGTGTTTGTTTCTGCGTGTTACGTAGAGCTGCTATCACTCCCTGTCTTGTTAACGTGGCCTAATGTATTAGGTGTCCTGTAGGGTCCAGTGGCACAGCCTTTCCTATCACCCAAGCATGGTACTCAAGGTAAGGCCTCATTGTGGGCTTCCTCTTGTAGTTGCGCCTTATTTGCTGTTGGCAGATCAATGAGAGTGATTTACCCAGGCCAGGCAGTTGCGAGGACTGGCTGTGACCACTGACTACCAACCTCGAACCTCGGAGGAGAATCAACTGTTCAGGGTTAGGGCAGTGGTGCTCCAATGTGACCTGTAGCTGTCCACTGAGTGCTCAGGCTCTGTGTTTTCCCGGGTGGTGTAGGCAATCTGTGTTTTGCCCAGGGCCATGCTGCATGACCTATAAAGCAATGTGAGATAGCTACTACATGAGCTGTGCTTGGAGATTCCCAGGAGAAGCCAAGCTGTGAATCTGGGCTGGCTGCTGCTAGTTTGTCCTGGGACCACTTAGCAAGGGGTACAGGAGCTGGGGGTTTACAGAGGCCAGCTGCAGCTTGTTTGAGAGGATTTAGGACATTGTGAAGCAAGAGTCATTCATATGGAAAAGTCACTATTAACAGCTTACAGGGGCTGGTAAGTTGGCTGGGACATCAGGGCAGGGCAAAAAGTGTTTAGCCAGGTTGATGGAGTATCAGATATGCTACCTCCCCGCTGGCTCTGTGGAGGAAGAGTCTGGCAAAGGGATAATTGCCTCTGCCTGTCTCTCTGTGTGATTGAAAGCTGTCCTCCAGTCCTTGCATTGATGCCAGACACTTCAGTTTCTCCCCGCATGCCACTGGTGCCTTTCAAGCTGCTTCCCCAGTGCTGGAGCTCAGAGACAGTGAGTCTTACTAGGTCCATTCTGGGCTTTAAGAGGAACTCCTTGGGACTCCAGAAGTTTCTTCCTCAGACTCAATTCCTGCTGGTTTTTGCTGCCAGAAGTTATGAGGACTTATCTTCCTGGCACTGGTATCCTGGGCTGTAGGCGTGGTGTGGGGCTGGAACTCCTGGAACCTGAGATATCCCTCCAGAATTTTTATCCACCACACATGGGTGTGGGACCACCCAATTCCATGTCAACACCCCTCCTACCAGTATATGTGGATGTGGTTTCTTTAATTCCATAGTTGTCACTTCCATTCAACTTGATTTCTGATGGTTCTGAGTGATGGTTGTTCCATAGTTTAGTTGTAATTTTGATGTGGTTGTTTGAGGAGACAAGCTGTCACTTACACTCCATCTTAACCAGACATCAGTGTTGTTTCTTACAGGCAAGGGCAAAGCCAATTCAGACATGGATTGTGGTGCTACAAGAAACTGTCTCTGAATCCTTCACCCAGACATACATGGCTGGGCTTCTCTCCATGGCCATGTTTCCATCTCCAGTGTACTGATTCAATATTGAGAATCAATCTAAGTTTGGTTACATGGGTTTCTCAGTTTGGGTTCTCCCTGATGCAGATCTAGATCCACAAATCTATGGGTGAAAAATATTAAAACGGTTTTATATCAGAGAATATAAGGGAGATGGGGTTGATTTAAATTTTTTTGTAAATGATATAGTACATGGAAAATAAAAATGTATTTGTGTGTATATAATTCATATTTATATGTGATATAGAGTATATATGCCAAAAGGTATAAGGTATCCTTTAAAAAAAAGGGATATTAAAACCTACAAATGTATCTGCTCATTTGTACAAAAGAAATATAGGAAAGCTTAAAAAAACTAAAGAAACTGGTTGCCTACGGGGCGTTAGTATGAATAGGGTTGAAAGAGGGAGAGTATGGGAATTAATAATGGAGATAATGGAGCAGTGATACTTTTCTGAATATTTTTCCATAACTGACCCTTACAATCATAGTAAGTATCCAAATACCTAAAACAAATAAATAACTGAAATCAACCAGGGGGCAGGAGAATCTACAATGGAACTCAAATAAACCTAACTATATTACAAATGAGAAATACAACCAACTGAAGGTGGTAAGGAAGATTTTTCACTGTTTAATGTTTAATGTGCACTGTTTAATGTACAGCTAAAGACAGAAAGAACTGTCATAGAAATACTGTACTATGGTTCTATGGTGTGAAGGCTCAGATGAAGGATATATGGAAACATTCTGTATTATTTTTGCAGCTTTTCTCAAGTATAAAATTATTTCAAAATTAAAAATTTTTTAAGTTCATTGCAGCATTACACAGTACCACAAAAATTAAAATTCAATCAACTTCTTCCTATAACTAAACAGTGGCAACACTTCTCTAATATCTCAAAGAGTAATAAAAAAGTAATAAAGTTTGAACGGTCAGTACCACCTTGGTGATTCCCCGTACAATCCTATGCCTTGAAAACTAAGCTCAGCATTCCAAGAAAAGAAGAACCATGACTGTACCCCAAACCAACTGGGCTTTCTGCCTCCAATTCAAGCTTTTTTCAATGCCTATGTTCCTATCAGTTATAAAGGACAATAAGATAAAATTACAGAATGAGAAGTATTTATAATTACAATCCTCATTTCATACAGTTTTGTCATTTTGAACAATTGCCACTTCCATGAGTAAATTATTAATCAGTTCATAAGACAAAAAAGGAAACCATCCTAAGGTCATAAAGACTTGTAGTCAAACAGGAAGCTCAGAACCCTGTTGTGGTATCATATATAATGAGCTGACTAAACAGGCTGTAAGGAAGCTAAGTGTTAGGAAGAAATCAAAATAGGATGAATAGTTGGGCCACTTAACATTATAATAAGCAACGTAAGTGGGAAAAGAACTCTTTAGCAGTTATAAAAAAGGGAATGGTGTTTGTATGTGTACACAGAAGTTTCCATATACAGTAATAAAATCAGCCTGGGTATCTAACCACTGAATGGCAAGCATTTCCCTATATCAGTCATACATATATTCCACCACACTAAAGGTCAATAGATGTTTTCTGAAAAGAGCCAGATAGTACATACTTTTGAAGCTGTGCAATTCATATAGTCTCTGACAACAAATCTACTCCACCACTGTAACATGAAAACAGCCATAGATAATACACAAATAAATAAGCATAACTATGTTTAGCCCACAGGCCATAGCTTTATATCGCTGCACTAGTCTGCTCATCCCTCTTGTAATTCTCAATTTGGGAAATAAAACTAAAAGTCAAGGTATCTTGATAACCCTGATAAGCCTAACAATATTCACTGCAGGCTCATCACTGGAATTTCAGATTTCTGTACTGATTTTAATGTCATCAGACTCTTGCAAGGTGTGTGGCTTAAAATGCTTTTTGAAGGTACTAAGTTTAGATATTTTGGTGCTTAAATAAAAGCAAATGAAATTAAGCTTTGGTATTAACTTTTTCACAATGACATATGCTCTTGAGAATCAAGTCTTTTCTGTGAGCTGAAAATAAAAGATTGCAAATTGCAAAGAACGAGTCTTTAAATGCCACACATGATGGAAGAACT